CTTAGCTGTGGAGGGCAGTGTCACTGGCCCTCATATGTGGGATCCGAACCGGGGCCCTCTGGCATCCCAAGCCAGTTCTTAACCATCACACCACTAGGCTGGACCGGTGTAAAGATAGTCCTTATTTGAGATTGTTCTTGTTACTTTAGATAGGCCTGCATTGTTATAAATTTCCATCTTAGGACTGCTTTCGCTGCATCCTCTAGATTTTGGGTTGTTGTGTTTTCACTTTCATTTGTTAAGATAGCTATTCATTTCTTCCTTGATCTGATTTTTGACCCACTTGCTTTTTAGTAGCATGTTACTCAGCTTCCATGTATTTGTGTGCTTTCCATGTTTCTTCTTATAATTCATTTTTAGTTTCATAGCATTGTGGTTGGAGAAGATGCTTGATATGATTTCAATCTTTTTAAATTTATTGAGACTTGTTTTGTGGCCTAACATGCGGTCTATCTTGGAAAATGTTCCATGTGCACTTGAGAAGAATGTATATTCTGTTGTTTGGGGTAAAATGCTCTAAAAATATCAATTAAATCCATCTGATCTAAAGTGTCACTTAAGGCCACTCCTTCCGTGTTGATTTTCTGTCTGGAGGATCTGTCCATTGGGGATTATGGGGTGTTGAAGTCTCCTACTATGGTAGTTTTACTGTTGATCTCTGTCTTTATGTCTGTCAAAATCTGTTTTATATATTTAGGAGCTCCTATGTTGGGTGCATAGATGTTTACCAGGGTTATGTCCTCTTGTTGAATTGATCCCTTTATTACTATGTAGTGCCCTTTTTGTCTTTTATTGTAGTCTTCATTTTAAAATCTATTTTGTCTGAAATAAGTATTGCTACTTCAGATTTTTTCTCATTTCCATTTGCGTGAAATATTTCATCCCTTTGCTTTCAGTCTGTGTGTGTCTTTTGATGAGTCTCTTGTAAACAGCATATGCATGGTCCTGTTTTCTTATCCACTCAGCCACTCTATGTCTTTTGATTGGAGCATTTAGCCCATTCACATTTAAAGTGATTATTGATAGGTGAATATTTATTGCCATTTTATCATTTGTATTTCTGGTCTTCCTGGGTTAGCTTGTTTTCCCCTTTCTTCTGTTAAAAAAAGCCCTTTTAACATTGCCTGCAATGCTGGCTTGATGGTAATGAATTCCTTAAGCTTATTCTTTTCTGAGAAACTCTTTATCTCTCCTTCAATTTTAAGCGATAGCCATGCTGGATAGAGCAATCTTGGTTGTAGGCCTTTATTTAGCATAACTTTGAATATTTCTTGCCACTCCCTTCTGGCCTTCAGAGTTTCTGTAGAAAAGTCAGCTGTTAGTCTTATAGGAGTTCCTTTGTATGTAGCCTGCTGTCTTTCTCTTGCTGCTTTTAGGATTCAGTCTATGTCTTTAATCTTTGTCATTTTAACTATGATGTGTCTTGGTGTGGACCTGTTTGGGTTCAGCTTTTTTGGAACTCTCTGCACTCCCTGGGCTTGTATGCTGATTTCCTTCACCAGGGTAGGGTAGTTTTCAGTCATTACTTCTTAAAATACATTATTATTTTTTAAGATTTTATTGGGGAATTAGGAGAAGGGAACAGTGTTGGGGAGTCGGGGAAGTGGAGCAGACAAGTTGCTGTTCTTTGGTTCTTCAGTCTAGTTGTGGAGGACATCGCTTCACTGGTCCATGTTGGTATTATTATTGCACTCTTCCCGGGTGAGGCAGATTGGTCGCCAGCCTCTGGACAGCTGCTCACAGTGGCTCTTGGCAGCTCACACTGGCTGCTGGCTGCTCATGCTGGCGGCTGGCCACACACAGTAGCTTATGGCAGCCCACTGCAACAGGGAGTGCACCCTACACCGTTGCCAGTGACTCATGGCATACCAGCTCCAGGTTGAGCTGTTGTTCACCATATTAGCTGTAGAGGGCAGTGTCACCAGCCCTCTATGTGGGAGTTGAACCGGGGTCCTGCTGCACAGTTAGTTCTAACGTTGTTTTTTATGATTTTTGTATCCTTCTTTATGTCCTCACTAAGTTCCTTAAACATTCTTATCATCAGTGTTCTAAACTCTGTCTCTGAAAGGTTGGATACCTTTGTTTCATTTAGTTCCATTTCTAGATGTTTCTTCTGATCTTTTACTTGGGACTTGTTTCTTTGTTTATTCTGGTTGTCACTCTGTGATTGCTTCAATGTATTATATTTGTCATCTAAAAAAATTAAAAAAAGAAGAAAAGAAATGGGGTGGGGGCTCTCCACTTGTTTTAATCTGCAGACCACTTGCTCAGCAATAGAGAGACTCTGGATGACCAGCACCAGCTTTTGGGGGGAAGGGCTCAACATATCATGTGCTGGCCTCGCTCTCAGGTTTGCAGTGAGCTTCCTACATTTAGCTGCTCTGTGCTCTGGAACCATGCTCACCCCTGAAAATCCTCACAGTTGTTGTGGGCTGTCTGCTGCTGCAAAAAACCCTTGTGTGCTGCAGAGGTGGGGCCAGGCACCAGTGCTCAGGGGCCCCAGGCAACACAGTTCTAGGTGGGTGGGGCAGGCCCCCAAGGCACCACAGGGTGTGGTCAGAAGCCTCCACCAAGTCAGAGCAGCATGCACTCCTGCACCAGAAACCTGCCTGCACAAACTCACCAGGAAAGCCCTGGCTGGATCACGCAGGTGCACAGCTCATGGCCCAAAACTCCCAGAAAAACTCCCAGCCTCAGCCTGTCCCAATCAGCCACTCGCAGATCAGGCTGACCAGCCTGACAGCAAATCACCAGCCTGGGAACTCTGCACATGTAGTGTGAAGAGCAGAGACCCAAGGTGGCTCATGCACTTCCATGACTTAATGAACAGTCTGTTGGAGCTGGAGTGCACCCGCCAGGCATTTCCCTGGCTACACAGCACAAGCAGTGCAGAGGGTGAGGATCCAAGGCCACATGCTCATGCACACACACACACGTGTATCTGTGCCAATTCCACCAGACCAATGCAGTCCCAGACCTGAGCCTCTGTGAGAGGTCCCAACCCTGAGAAAATGGCACCTTCCTGTACATTACTCATGTCAGACTCCACACAAGGGGAACAATGGTCCCAAAACCTCCAGCTCCCATGCAAAAGGTGCTCAGTTCCATCCTTGCCCGCAGGCTCCTGGGCCCCGCTCACACAGCTACTCCCTCTATCAGGGACCGGGTGAGTGCTCACCAGAGAGTAAGTCCATGTGCTGGCTCCACTGGTTCTCTAGCCACCCTCAGCCTCACTGAGTTGAGTAAATAGAGTCCTCACTAATTACTACTGCCAGCTATTGTAGAACTCCTCTTCCCAGCAAACTAACTCTTGGCTGGTGAGCTCGGTGTCGGACCAGAGGGTCTCTCCCCCAACCGGAGAATCCTCCCCACCACTGTGGTGTCCCTCATGTGAACTGGGGTTCATTCTCTCTTGTCTCTGCCCCTCCTGCCAGACTAAACATGGCCTCCTCTTTAAGTCTTTCGTTTAGAGGTTCTGTTCATCTAGTGTTCAAGGAACTTCTAAAGTTTATTGTTGTATAAATTATTTGTAATTTTGGTGTGATCCTGGGAAGCAGCTGGCACAGCGTCTGTCTATCTCATCATCTTACCAGAAGTCCAGTTTTTTTATATGTGATTCAACACACAAAATTATAATGACAGAATTGATGATGGTGATAAATCATTTTGTAACACTTGATAACTGAAGCTTAAGAAATGTTTCGGTTGGAATGGATTCTGTAATGCTTAGCATCTAATGACAGAGTCGGTAATATAATTATCTGGTTCTACTAGGCATTGTGGATATACAGACAAAAGCTTAAACAGGAAAACAAAAATTTGAGAACTGTGACTATGGAGACAGGAGATCCTCAGACATGAGAGAAATTCCTCTGGTCCACTGGAGGAGTTAGTCATGGAGAGTGGGTAAATGCATATTTTCTTTCAGCCATGCAAAAGAAGAATAAACTTGTAGGGAAGGGTTACAATTTAGGGTGTGTGTGTGTGTGTGTGTGTGTGTGTGTGTGTATACATGCTAGAAATTAGCTACTCATGCTGTTCAATTTTTTTTCAATAATTATACAGTGAAAACAATTTTTTTGCTCTTCAAAAACTTGTCTTAGAGCCAAATTTCCTAAAATGTTCCTAATCCATTAGGCATAAAGCATACATAGAAGAGATCTGTAATAACCTACATACAGTGGCATATCTGGAGAGTATAGTTATTAATAGATGCTGTTAATCTGGGAAAATAATAACGTTTTCTAAGAAATTGTCCTGGCCCCTGTGTCTTGATAGTGTACATAATTTGCAATTTGTAATTTATGTACTTATTTTTAAAACAGTGAAATTAATATCTGCCACATAGGGTTATTTAACGTATCTGAAAGGATCCAGCATAATATCTGGCATCAGTTTCCATCTTCTGTATCTATTGGGTTGTCAGAAAAGTCGTCACGCATTTTTGCAATGAAAAACAGAAAAAATACGTCATAACTTTTACGACAACCCAATTGTTCTGAATTACACAAATTAAAAGCCTTTTTTCCATCCTCTTACTGAAGATAAGGAAACACAAGGAGAGGAGATAGTTAAACTGCTAAAAATCAAGGCTTCAGAGACAAATTGAGAGTAACTGTTGCTTATCCTAGAAAAGAATAAGGCTTTGTGGTTCCATATGCCTTGACTAAAATCAGCATTTCTTTTTCTGGCTCAGCTTCTCTGTCTGTAAAATTAGGACATTCTCTACCTCCTAATGTCGTTATTTGTTTTACATAATAAAGAAACTATTTCTTCATTAAATAAATGGAAACTATTATTAACAATAACCAAAAGTATTTCTTCTGCAGAAGAGAAGATTGAAACATGTTTTGATTTGAAAAGATAAACACATTAAAAAAGGTGACCAGTTAATTTTTATCATTGCAGAGTAAGAAAAAATAGTCTGGAATTGTAGCATGAAGAATTTTATTTTCACATAGCTATTGTTAGAATGTAGAATAGAATTTTTTCAAGAGGATATTAAATCATTTCTTGATTACACATGATAATGGATGATACACAAGCTTCATTCCCATCTATAATTTTACCTGGCACCATAATTCAATTTAGATATATTGCATAGGATGTGCCAACAATCATTAATAACCAAATAAACTCCATGACTGTGCTTGGATGACTCTTTTAATGGTGAGCTCCAGATCACCAACACAGTAACTGTCAATTCAACTACAACAAGGTTTCTGAAGACAATGGCTTCTGACTGAGCCCAAGCAGGTTGTAAATAAATTTCAAATGGAACCTGGCATCACCCTGAAGGAATTCTAACTTCACACTGTTGGGGTAATTTACCAAGATGGCTTCAGAGTTGACTAACTTTACACAGCACATTTAAAAAAAAACACATTTATTCAGCATCATGATCAGATTATTACATTTAGCAATCAACAGCATGGGTGCAAAAAAAAACCTACATTAAAACCCTTTGTTGGAATGCTTTACACTTTCCACAGAACAGAAACTAAAATAACCTGTTATACAATTAGTCACAAATACAATCCTCGAGTTTTTTTGCCCATACACATGAGTATGGTCTAAAACATGTCTTCTTTGTAGCAGCTAGGCCCTGCCACCACTGTGCTTGGCTGAGTTCACAAATCTGTTGTAACCTGTAGCTTCCCTGTCACTTCTCTGGCTCTCCTCTCCTGCTAAGCTTTGTTTCCTGGCAGTAATTAAAACCTTCCGCCACCATCGTAACTGCTGCTGCTGCTGGAACCACCATAGCCACCTTGGTTTTGTGGTTTGGCAAAGTATTGGCCTCCACCACCATAGGGGCCAGAGCTTCTGCCTCCAAAGTTTCCTCCTTTCATGGGTCCAAAATTTGAAGACTGATTATTATAACTGCCAAAATCGTTGTAGCTTCCACCACCTCCAAAATTGCTTCCATCATTACCAAATCCATTATAGCCACCCCCACTGCCACCATATCCTCCACCACCACGACCGCCACCAAAGCCACATCGACCACTGAAGTTTCCTCCACGACCAAATTTGTCATTCCCACCAAAACCACCTCCTCGACCACCACCAAAGTTTCCAGAACCACTTCGACCTCTTTGACTGGATGAAGCACTAGCCATCTCTTGCTTAGATAGGGTATTCCTTACTTCACAGTTGTGGCCATTCACAGTATGGTATTTCTGAATGACAATCTTGTCTACAGAGTCATGGTCATCAAAGGTTACAAAAGCAAAGCCTCTTTTCTTGCCACTGCCTCGGTCAGTCATGATTTCAATCACTTCAATTTTCCCATACTGTTCAAAATAATCTCTTAGGTGATGTTCTTCAGTGTCTTCTTTAATACCACCAACAAAAATCTTTTTCACAGTTAAGTGGGCTCCAGGTATTTGGGAATCTTCTCTTGAGACAGCCCTCTTTTGTTACACAACTCTTCCATCCACCTTGTGTGGCCTTGCATTCATGGCTGCATCCACCTCCTCCACAGTGGCATAGGTGACAAACCCAAAGCCTCTGGAGCGCTTGGTGTTTGGGTCTCTCATCACCACACAGTCTGTGAGCGTTCCCCATTGCTCAAAATGGCTCCTCAGACTCTCATATGTTGTTTCAAAACTCAGACCTCCAATGAAAACTTCCATAGCTGTTCAGGCTCTTTGGGAGACTCTGACTTAGACATGACGACCGCGGGAAGGGAGATTTAATGATGCTTACTCGGCGGCGTCCACCGACAGAAAGGCTAGAATAGATTTTTAAGGAAAGTTAACAAATTGCTCTCTTTGGAAGTCTGCAAAAATATGAAACCTTCTTTGGTATGACTTGGCTGGTGTTTCTCACTTATGAACCTCATAGACAAAAATTGCTTAATTCTACATTTTCTTTGCAAAACAATCAAGTTAAGAATCTTGCATAAGTTTTTAAGAAAATTCTTGTGATTTACTATGGATGCTGAATGTTTCTTAATTAAGACAACATAGTTTTTTTTTCTTTTTTAAAGATTTTTATTGGGGAATTGGGGGAGGGGAACAGCGCTGTGGAATTGGGGGTAGGGGAACAGACAAGTTGCTTCCCTTTTGTTCTTTAGTCTAGTTGTGGAGGACGTGCTTCACTGGCCCATGTTGGCACCATCATTGCTCTCTTCCCGGGTGAGGCAGATCAATCGCTGACTTCTGGATGGCCACTCACTGCGGCTGCTGGCCACTCACGCTGGCTGCTGGCTACACACAGTAGCCCATGGCAACCCACTGCAGTAGGGGCTGCAGCCTACGCCGTCGCTGGCAACTCACGGCAGCCCAGCTCCAGGTTGCGCTGTTGTTCAGTATCTTAGCTGTAGAGGGCAGTGTCA